AGAACAATAATACTTTAAGAGATATTTTTTAATATTTATTTCTATAAAACATGGTCTTATTTAACCATTTTGGGGAGGGGGCTTCAGTCCCAAAGCCCCTTCCCTTCCCCGTAGATTCGCTTGTGGCATCTGTCAACATGAATGTGTCCAAGTTTCTGGTTTCAAATGCTTAGACAATTACGTCTTTTGTAATGACTTAGACTAAAAAGAAAAAAATAGTAATCATTTTATATAGAAAGGTTCCAAGTAAAAACGAAGACTTATTTAGTTTTGTTTCCATGAATTCAGAATGAAAACATGCATTCTTTCTGAGTGTATATTGCGATAAAATCAAATCCTTACCTAAAAGCCGATTTTTTAATTTTAACTTCCTGAAATAATCCAGCTTTTCTTTACGAATCCATTGCTAGCACTACATCAATTGATGAAATAAGTGAAATCTATTTTTTTTTCTTGACTTCTTAAGGCTCGTTTAGGCATTTAACTAATTGTGGGTAACATTATTATCTAACCAAATTATTTATTTTATCTTTTATAATAATTTATTTATTTTATGTTATCTTGATATCGTCAGCAGATGGAGATATCAAAATCAAGAAATAAAAATATTAATATATATTTGTTTGTCTCTTAGTTTGTGAAATGTCTAAACCCGCCTTAACAGATTGGTTTATATATTTATTTCAATATTATGAAATAAATAATTACTACTAAAAAAGATTAGTTTCCGCCCTAAAATTAACTATCCTTATCCCTTTATTATAATTGAACACCAGGGGTGCACACACACAAGCGGGGTACCATGGCCAAGTTGCGTCATCAAAATATGTGAGGGGGCATATTTTGACAAGTTTCGATGGAGTTTAGGCAAATTTTTCGGACCAAGGAAAACGAAGAAAACATGGAACAGACCGCAGCAAGTGTAATTGTATATCATCGATTTTTCTAATTCTACCTTAGCTGGTTCTATCTTTTAAAAAAGATGAGCAACAAAATATCTTGGGAGGAAGGAGAGGGTAGATTCCTGCTCTATCGACCTTGGTGGGGATGGGCACCCTTGTTGGACAAACACATATAAAGTCAATAAATATTGTATATATATAATCGATGTAATTAATATATATATATAATCGAAAGAAATGTTTCAATGCTAATTAATGTAAATTATTTCTGATGTAATAAAATTAAATCGTTTATGGAATATATATTCAATATATATAATCATATCTTTCGAATCAAAATAAGAATCGATTCTGACTACCGGATAAGATGGCCGATGAATATCAATCTGGTAGATATAAATTTCCTTCCTAATTCCGATTTGTGCCATTTCTGATGATTCAATTTGTGTTTTAAAAACACGCAGTTATTTAGGTTTTAATTTATTTGTCTTATTGCAAACCTTTTCTGTCGATTTCGTATTTATATCTCAATATAATCTGATTTAGTGGTTTTATGCCCGACAGTGTAGAAGTGTACCAATTGGCTGCTAAGGTAAATGTATCGAAGCTTAACATGAGTGATTTTATATACCTACTTAAACATTTTAAAATAAAAATTATGTTATATGTTCTAGTTGATCTCAAGGTATGGAATTTTTAGTCACTACTATAGAAAAGATTGGTGAGTTGGATATTCTTCATTATCTGGATATTTCTAATTCAATATGGCACAAATTTAACTCCAGTTTTGATATAATTCAAACTGAAACTATTATATGAACATTTAGGTACTGATTGTATTTTCATGTACATTGAAATTCTATCCCTTTTGTACAGAAAAAGAAATTATATATATATATATATATATATATATATATATATATATATATATATATATATATATATATACTGTTATTATTTAGATGAGTCCACAATCAATTTGGTCACACATGTTGATGAAATGCTGAAAACAGTCTTTCCGATCAACCCAGATGCTTTTGGCACTCCATGAACAAGTGTGACCAAAGTGATTGTGAACCAGGCGTGACTCCTGTGATCTAAATAAATCCATCATCTAAATAATTACCATATATTCTACTTTTAATACACTATCTTTCAAAAAAGAATAACGGTATTCTTCATTTAAGGTATTACTATTATTATTAGAAGATCTTAGATTGTAGAATATATGGTAATTATTTATATGAGGACTGCAGGGGTTACGTATGGTTCATGATCACTTTGGTCACAAATGTTCATGAAATGCCGAAAGCATCTGGGTTTATCTGAAAGACTTTTTTTGGCATTTCATGAACAAGTGTGACCGAAGTGCTTGTGAACCAGGTGTAAACCCTGCAATCGTCATCTAAGTAATTACCTTATATTTGAAAGTGAATTGTTACCTTCATTTAAAATATTCTAGTAATGCCTTAATTGATGAATACCATTCTTATTTTTTTGCAGATACTGTATTACAAGTAGAATATATGGTAATTATTTAGATGAAGACCACAGGGTTTACGTGTGGTTCATAATCACTTCTGTCACACTTGTTCATGGAGTGTCGAAAGCATCCGGGTTTATCCGAAAGACTGTTTTCAGCATTTCATGAACGAGTGTGACCGAAGGGATTGTGAACCAGGTGTAAACTCTGTGGTTCTCATCTAAATAATTATCAGATATTTGAAAGTGAATTGTTACCTTCATTTAAAATATTCTAGTATTGCCTTAATTAATGAATACCATTCTTATTTTTTTGCAGATACTGTATTACAAGTATAATATATGGTAATTATTTAGATGAAGACTGCAGGGTTTACGTGTGGTTCATAATCACTTCTGTCACACTTGTTCATCGAGTGTCGAAAGCATCCGGGTTTATCCGAAAGACTGTTTTCAGCATTTCATGAACAAGTGTGACCGAAGTGATTGAGACCCACGCCTAACACATGCGATCCTCATCTAAATAATGATCAAATATAATTTTAAATACCAATAAATTACTAACAAGCTTTTTATTGATTTATATTTTAATTCATATTTAAAAATATGAACACAACAATTAACTGATATCTATTACATATATTTTTTCCTAGTTAAGGGATCTGTATCTGTTTTTCTTCTTGTTATTTTTTTTTTTGGATATGGGAGAGATGTGAAGAAGAAATTAGGATGAAGGATGAAAATAAATGATATTTAGAAAAAACAAAAGAAATTTATATTCTTCTTTATAGATACATAGGTTTCCTATTCATAATAAGTTATTTACCAATATTTACAAAATCGTATAGTACACCTTAAAACCATGTGGCTGGTGACCGATATGTATAGTTAATTTTTGCTATTTACAGTTTTATGGACATTTGTATTGCATCGTGCCACTGATTATTTACAATTTTTTTTAACAAAACAAAAAAATCACATAAAACAGTATAAAGGAAAATTATCAAACAATTAACAAAATTGAATCTTCCTGTAAAATTAAGATTAACAGATTACATTTAGATGAAAACTTGCAAATTTATATTAGGGGCCTATGAAGTTGTTGCAATTTTAATTACTAACTTCAACATTGTAATATTTACACTGTTCTGTTTTAATTTATTTATATATTTTAAATTGATAATTTTTTTTTGTTTAAAAAAGGAATCTTTAATGCAACCAAGCTTACTGACATGGTTTGATCATAATATGCCTCAATTAAACTTTACATAATCATATCACAATATAAAATAGTCCTCACCTATTGAATTAAATAAATCTAATGTTGAAGATTTGAACATAACATAGTTATACATAATTACTTCACACATGTATGAGCAAACAGTATTTATCTATGTGACAACAATTAAAAAAAAAGGATCTAAAACACCTTTTTTTTTTTTATTTACATTAACTTGCAGATTGTAAGTTAAATACGTTGGCTATATATTTTCAGATTTAAAATTATCAGAACATTTAATACAAGTTTTTTTTTATAAAGGCCTCACCAGTCACCTAATTATATATATTATACTATATGTATAGATTTTTAATTTTTTCTAGTACCATTATTCAAAATTATCATGAGGGATGGGAGGTTTTATTATTTGAAAGCCATATTAATTAGCAATGACAAATTGGTGGTTTTTAAAGTAGCAAACATAAGTAAAAGGTACATGTTAAAGTAATTTACAATAGTTGTGAATAACAATTAAGATTTGATAAACATGATAGTTAAAACATTCTTTACAATATTTGAAAAATTCCTTCCGTGAAGTTAGGATTCTACTTTTTCTCTTAATGAATTGTAAAAGTTAAAAATAATAGATGATTTGTTTTTTTTTTATTTCTACTTGATACATATATTTCATTATCTTTTATCTAAACAGGATTCAAAAGCATTTATTCAGCCTGTAACCCCCCTTCTTTTAGTACCTGTTTATTTATAATGAACATAATAGTTTTGTGTTAGGTTAAATGGATTACGAAATACTACTACATCTGATAAATTAATGTTGATGTAAACATTATTAATTAATAATATTATTGTTCAATTGACGACTTAAGTTAATAAGAAATTAAGTTTCCTTATTGAAGCTATATGTGCATAGTTTTTATTTATAATGTTTCATCTAAGTCTTATAAAATAGTTTTATTGTAGTAGAGATTATAATTTTTCTACTTGACGTTTACAAAACCACAAACCACCAGAAGGGTATAAAATTTTGTCAAAGGATAATTATTTAGTTTCATATATATATTTCTAATGGTTTTTTTTTTCTGTTAAACAATTTTTGTTTTCAATTTTCATGTTCTGCCAATCTCTAAATTTGTGACTAGATTTTCAATGTGTATGTGATATTATTCTTTATACAATCAGTTACTTTTTAAATGCTTTATATACTTCTGATATAATACACAGTTAATTTTATTCAGGTTTTAAACATATTTTCAAAAATATTACAGTTTTATTTATATGTTTTTTATAGTTTGCTAGTGACTATTCTTTTTTATTAACTATTACCTTTATAAGATATTAAAAACTAAAAATAGATTGATTTTTCATTATTTTAGCTTAGTAATTACATTTTAATATTTCCTGCTACAAGTCAAATGATTAAGATTGATAAATCTTTTCATGTGAAACATAATGAATTAACCAACATATTTTATTTTACCATTACCAACAGACTAAACAAAAATGATGTCTTTCATTTTGTAATGAAGAAAATATATTAATTAGAATTCACAATGCAATAAATGAATGATTTAGTTTTCTTATTTTTTCTTTTGAATTTAGCATTATGTATTGAATGGCAATAATAATAATAATAACAGCTAAATTTGTTCATTCGAGCATGAGTTTTTGCTGTTTAATTCTAATTAAGTCTTCTGAAATCTTAAAATATAAATTATAAGTTTATAATTTATTTGTCGCCCCTAATATAGATCTTAATTAATCGAAAATTCGTTGTTGACTAGTTAATTTTACATAAATATCTTTTTATATTCACTAATATTATTCTTGTGGAAAGGTCATTTTGCATATAAATATTTTGTACTCTTTGAAGTGGGATCATGATTAAAAAATAGGACTAGACTTTCTTTTTACATGATACAATGTACAATTAGAAGGTAGAAAATTTACAATAGTTGAAAAGACTTCATTTTGGTGTTGATACCAGAGGACTGTAACTCTGTGAATTACATGTTGGAAGAGCGAATGGGTTCATTCCGGTGAAAGGTGAAGAAACTAGACTTCCAACTCCTGTTAAAAATGTAAAGTGATATTAAAATCAACAATTAAAAAAATATGATTTAATTTTGTTTTTTAATATAAGTATCAATGTGATATAAATTTGATTCTACTTAAATTCATGAATTTTCGCTCCTCAAAATATTAATACTCTTGAATTAAATGGCTATATAAAGAGCTTATAAGTCATCATTAGTGAATTAAACGTTATTGAATCACTGATGACCGCTACCAAAATTTTTATGAAATTATCTAAAGAGTACTTTCAGCTCCTCATAACACATCTACAATTGATTTTAAAACAATACTAGTATTTTCATCATGTGATACAACTACTATTGAATGGTGGATTGTGTCCGGGGTGTCCAGAAGAGGGTTTCATGGCAGAAGTTGCTCTATACAAATTTTTGAGAGAGATACAAATACTTGACAGAGTTTTAAATTTTCGGAGGAGGCACAGTCCGACAGGTTATGAATTTTTATAATAACAAGGGGAAAACATAGAACAGACTGCAGCGAGTGTATATTAATTCTATATGATCTAAAATGTTTCTTATTTTACTTTCACTCATAATGTTTTTAAGATGTGTGCAAAAAAATATCTTGGGATTCATATGATAGACTTTGGAGTGGGATATGCATTCCTGTTCATGTCAATCTCTGTTTCTTCTCAAATTGTTTGACTATTATTGCTGGATTTTCTCCACTAGCAGATATCAAATGATATTTATTCAATTAATAATTTATCCACTGTAAGAATCTTTAAAAAAAAGGTTAAAATTTCTTTCTCAAACTTGTTGAACACTCAACCTTTTCTTCTCCTTAATGGTATGAAAATTTTTGACCATAGTTCTAATTTAAAGAGAAATTAGTTGAGAGGTATGATGAAACAAATGTTATTTGTGAGAATTATTGCCAAATTTTAACTTGTACTTATTCTACTATAAGGATAATATATACAAAATAAATTCTCTTAGTCATACCGAATTATTGTTTATTCATTCATTAATAAAACATTGTCAATTGTGTCTCAATACTCAAGCACATGTGATGTTTGCCTCTTCCTTGAATCACTTGGTTATGGAATCTTGATTGAACTGTTTCGCATTGTTAGCAAATCCGAAAATCCTTATGCCATTACTTCTTTAGCCCTTCTTGTTGTTCTTGTCCAGTGGGTAATGTAGAAGATGAAAGAGTTAAAGTGGATGAGTAAAATGTGCTTTATTTTTCTTGTCTGTTAAGAGTTGACATGTTATATACCTTTGTGTATGTTTTTTGATAAATAAGATAAAAAAAATATTTATTTTTGATAAACAAATTATACTAACTGTAAATCAATACTTATTATATGCGTATAATGCTTGCCTGATAATAAAAATACTGCGTTATATTTATATACTTCCTATGATAAGATATGAAGGTTAGTTATATGAAATGTTCTAGACTCATCAAAAATACTACATAAATATTTGACTTGGTCAATAATAGGTCAATTGGTATAATGTTTAAATTATTCATATCTGGAAATATGCCATTAGCACTAGAGCTTAGCATTTGATAAAATTAATACCCTTGTTCTCCCTGGGAGCCCTAGAATAAAGATAGGGACTCACTAGGTGCGGAGGAGTTGAAGATGACGGGAGTGGTGGACGTTGCCTGGGAAGACGTTGGGTAGGTCGGCGTCGAGTTGTTGTACCCGCCGTTGCTGGAGTGTGGCGTACTCGTGCTGGAGCCGTATCCTCTTGGCGAAACGCTTCCAGCACCTCCCCTCGTGTATTCTTCTGGAAAACAAATTATTTATTTTAGGAGTTTTATTTAAAAGTATAAGTACATATGTCTATTAAAAAAAAAAAAAAAAAATGGTATCCTATTTTAGCTAGTTTAAGATATCTTTATTTCTCTAGTGCCGAAAAGGGTATTTTATATTCAAGTATGACACTATAATTAATGCTCAGGCACACAGGTTGAAGTGTCCCTGTCCCTCAGTGGTAAAATATAATCATGTTTTATGAAACAAATATTTTTTAGTGTTTGTAATTTACTTAAGGAAGACTTTAGACTTGTGCTGATGAAAATTAATTAAGTGTGGTGTAAGATTGTTAAATGGAATAGAAAAAAAAAGACAAATGTTAATAACATGCATTAGAAGAACAGGAGTTAAAGGAGAGCATTAAGAATCGAAAAAAAATGTCTGAAGACGGACCAAGACTCCGAAACGTTAGACAGATGAACAAATTGACATATGCGGAAGAAAAAAGTTTTCATGCTTTATACTTAGAAACAATATTAAGAAATTATCCTCATAAGTGCTATTGATTTTGTAATTACATTTAACTGGACTTAAACACCATTTTATATAGTTAGTTTCTTTCTTCATTTTCTAAAGTAACTACCGTTATATATATATATAAAAGAAAAAAATCTTTCAGGCTGAAGCTCCCTCTAAAAATTAGATCCTGAATCCGCTGGTGGACCTATCCCAGGAAAATAGATACTATTTATTCATTTAGGGAACTCTCGTTTTTACAAGTCTTATATTTTTTAAGAAATCAGGTTAACCTCGTTTGTTTGTTTTTTAACTGTACGAATCGATTATAATTTATTTCATGAACAATTTATTATTATTCATGAATGAGTCGATAATGATTATTGCTGTACCTTCCGTCCACTGACCGTTGTTCTCATGTACTGTCACCGCCAGCTGGCCTGTGTAGGAGTTGAAGGTGGTCGTGCTGTTGTTGTTGGTCGGTGATCTTGGAGCTGTCAGTTGTTGGTTCCTTGGCTGCATTGTATATAGTGCTTCTGCCAAGTCTGCCGCTCTTTTCAGTATTATTTCCTAAAATATTAATTGGTTTTAAATAATTAAAATATTAATAAACAATGAAAAATTAGTTATATAAATATTTGATTCTATGCTTCAGCGATGACCTATTATTATTTTATTATTTCAAGATATAAAGTCACCTTGGGAAGTTTTTCCGGGTCGCCTGGATGCCTTGGTATCAGCTTTTGCAGGCGCTGAAATCCGTAATCAATCGTTGGCTCGTTTAAGGCTGAAATAAAAACATACGAGTTTTATCCTCAATCCCTCAACTTGTTTGATAATTTTCCGAAAAAGATGTTTGAATTATCCATCATACTTACAAACATATACGAAGCGGCCTGGCGCACCCTTGCAGAACTGCTTGCTCTTGTAAGACAAGGTGACCTCCACAACTCCCGGTATGTGCCGCGGCGGCGTTTGCACCCTTATCGCGTGGGACGTTATCAGCTGTAAATTATTTGATAGATTACTTAGTGAATAATGTTATATTATATGAACCGTGGAATTACAAAACCAGATAAATTCATTTTTATAAATTTTGTTCAGTTGTCCAACAAAGTGTTTGAATGTACAATTTTTGTTTGTTTGTTGTTACTGTCGCTTAGATATCTGACCATATAATGTAACAAAAATAAATTGATGATCTCCAAAAGAACCAGAAATTTTCATTATCAATACCAGTTGATTTCAATATTTTCAGAGCTGAACTATATGCCATTCTTAACGCCATAATATTCAGCGAAAACACATACATCAACCAAAAAATAGTTATTCTGACAGACTCAGCAACTGCATGTAAACACCTAAAATTAATCTATCAAAATAAAGCACTGACACACATTTCCTTTAAAATCATATCACTAATATACAACGCCAGCAACAATTACTTTTTCCAGTGGGTGCCGGAACACGTAGGAATATCAGGAAATGAAATGGCTGGCAAAACCGTGAATCAAAGCCAACTACATCGGATAAATGCAAAAGGTTCCTTTACTGGATTTGATAAGTGTGGTGAGGGGAAAAATAATGAAAGACTGGCAGCGTTTCTTCGACTGGATATCTGCCTCGAAGAGTAAGCACCATCATGCAGTTCAATAGAAGATAGCACTGGTTTCATGGTTTGCGACTCCTAAGTTTCATCTCGACCGCTCCAGTTTAGTAAAACTGACTACACTTAGGATAAATCATCGTAGAACTAATAAATATCTACATCTAGTGGGTATAGCTAAAGGCGGTCAGTGTCCAACATGCCAATGCTTGGAGGATCCAAGACACATTGCCTTCAAGTGCAAAAGATTCGAGAAGCGAAGAAGAATTAGTTTAGGATCGCAAACTACGGATGATGGAGCTAACTTTCTTCGGTCGATGAATAAAGATAACGCCCGTGACTTGATAAAGTTTTTGAATGACATAAAAGCAGTTATATAATAAAAGTCGCCTCTTATTCTCATTTAATTGTTATGAAACTACTGTCACCTCAGTTTTTAACTATTAGTCTTTCTAGTTTAAGTTCTATATAAGTTACATTCAATATTTAGTTACATTCAGTGATCATCTATCTATAAATAATTAATAAATATCCAGTGTAATTTCATCTTACTATGACAATTAAAATATTTTACTGGCAAAATAGGACTTGCTTTTACATGTCTTAAAGCCAAAAAAAAAAGAACAAAAAAATAAATTCAAAATACAAATTAAATTTAATTACATCTCCCAACCAAAATCCTCTTGAATTTGACTAGGTTTGGAACACCATTAAAAACATAAATACTAAATTATATTATATTTAACCACATATATTCATTATAAATATCTTTTCATTATATTTCCCATGTCGAGGACGTAGGTATCAAATGTATGGTAAGTATAAAATATGAAAGAAAACGTTTTTAATGATTAAAATGTCAATACAATACTATTTCTTAAAATTACAAAGGATCATTTCACATGAATTCACCAGATGCCGTGACCTGCACGTTTCCGATTTAAATGATTCTGTTATCTTAGTACCCACTAAATAATGAATATATATTTTTCAAAAACAACAAAACATTATCATTAATACAAAAAGCTACTATAATTACAGCTGATGGCATTAGAGGGGCGTTTGATTGCTCATTTTAAAGCTTATTATATGAGCTTGTATTTTATATGTCACCCTCAAAACAAGACTTAAATTTTTACTTGTTTCAAAATTTTGAATTTTAGGAATCTTGAAACACTTTTTCTTAGATTTTTTCTATAAAATGAGGTATTCGTCTTCCATCATCGATTATAAATCTACTAGAGCTTTTGATAAAAGTACTTGAAATACGGTATAATTTGCAATTTTTAAAAATCTATATAAAAAAAAAACTACTTAAGAAAAATATATTTGTAAATTATTTAGAGGGTATAAATATTGAGGTAAAATCCTGTAAATCGGAATTAAACAGGTTCAAAGTTTATTTTTCTTTTGGTTATTTTTGACGAAATGATTCAACAGCAATTGATATCACAACTAGGTAAGTTAACATGGAGAAATATGTACAATATTGTATTTGGATTTGGGTGGTTTTGTAATTCCATGCCTCGCATATTTTTATATTTTTGATCATTGAGAAATATTTAAAATAAATTGCTCATAATTAGTTTGGATTTAGACTTACCTCACTCCAAACAAGCATCGTGCCGAAGACTACTTGAAGACCATCGAAGAAGTTGTCTCCAATGATAATTACCGTCGAACCTCCGCTTGTCCAGCCTTCGCTTGGCGAGATAGCTTTGATGCAGGGTGTCGCGACTGGTAAAGGCGGATAGAGACCTGTGTTGGAAGAATTGGTTTAATTTTATGTTTACTATTTTATTAATATTAAAGAAATAAATAAAATAATTAACGACCTATGCTTGTATTATTCCTACCGCTCCGACTTTACCCTGTAATTGAAGTGCTGATAAACTTTCTAGGAATAGTTCCAGTATCGAGTCCAATAACTTTATCTGCTTTTTCTATTGGGCCAGATGTAAGAATATGTACATTATATTTTATATAGAATATATCTCTGGAATCTATTTTCGAAAAAAAGGTTGTTTTTTTTCACGTAACCACCAACATTTTCTACCCATAAAAATGCCACAAAGGATACTAGTTTTGTTAATGCTTTCACGTTTCTGGAAAGCATGTACGAAGTGGGTATCTTCCAATTGAATAATAAAAAAATTATTGAAAATCAAGTAACTAATACTATCAACAAATTACATCTTACTTTGTAATAACTGTTTGAATAATTATATATAATATGATAAATTAAATTAATAAAAATTACTTCCTAAATTTTAATAGTTATAAATTATTACATTATAAGCTATTTATAAATATTGAATACATGGGGTTTAAACCGAAACTCCATGCTGCATAAATCCTTTTAAAAATAGTTCAATAGTCTTTTTATGACCACCACTGCGGACCATCTCCTCAACAATACATGACGGTCAACCATCATGCATTCAATTTGAATACATTTAATATTTAAAATCAAAATAAAGGAAGGAGATGGTCCGGGGTGGTGGTCATAAATAGGCTAAATTGTGGTAAAACTATTTTATTAAAAGCCAACGTTTCGACCCAACTTTGCAGGTCTTCAGGGAGGTGTGTTTTCCAAGTGAAACTCCTAGCTGAACACACCTCTCTGAAGAAGACCTGCAAAGTCGGGTCGAAACGTTGGTTTTTAATAAAATAGTGTTACCATTATTTAGCCTATTTATGACCGCCACCCAGGACCATCTCCTCCCTTTATAATGCAACGGTCAACTATTAAATATTCAATTAAAATCAAATAAATCTTTATTTTACATATATTTATGAACTACTGATTTATTAATTTTATAAATTCGAAATTGAAGCTATTACTTTAATTAGAGATTAAGCATTGTTATGGTATTTTTAAAATTTATTTTGCCAATGAGTATGAAAATATTTTTATTCCGCTTAACAGATTCACCAGCTTTTTTTTTTTTAGTTCAAATACAATTATTTATACATCGAAGGACTATTAATTTCTTATTTATTTTTACCTGTCTATTATGTTTTATTTAGAAGGAAACATTTTCAATGGTGATTTAAATTCTGCATAAGTATTCATCGATATAGATGTGTAAATTTGATGACGTTAGCACAATAGGGGATGCGTGGACAATTAATGGTGATTAAATATTAATATAAAAACAAGTAAGCCTGTACGTATATTTACTGGCTGTTCAATTATATCATAATTAGTGCGAGATTATTATTAATTTACTTATATAATTTCTTTAAAACTTAAGTTTTTGATTAAATCTGTTCCGTTAATTCATAAAGGTAGTAATAATATTTGAATCTATGTATATCAGTAAATTCTATTGAATTTATTCTTATCATTATTTTATTTTATTTTCAACTTTGTAATATATAATATTATTCGCAAATATCATTATGTTTTTTTGATTTAGAAATTTCTTAATATTTCTGGAGTTACAATTTAAAAGTATTAGTTCGGCGTAAATTAATATAGATATTGTGGTATCTTTAAAAACGAATACAAATGTCCGAATGGAAATTAAAGAGAAAAAAAAATTGTATCAGCATAATTTAGTATTCTGTTCATCACTTCAACTATTTGCACAATTACTAATAAAAATGGAATATTTTTTTTCTTCTTTTGACTCCAAATAAATTTAGTGGTGTTTAGACTCTATAAAGCGACTAGTGTTGCCCAAAGTCGATCTTGGTCTTGCAAAGTGCAAGAAAAAGGCCGCCTTACTGTTGGAGGACCAAGAACTGGATTGGTAAAAAAAATCGATTTTTTAAATAAAAATTTAGGCAAATTAGTTACTAATACTTGACAATCTTAGTTACTATATGTTAATAATTGGTATAACCAATATACTTTTGCATTTAACTCCTCTAATTTTTCATTCGGGCTTAGTTAGGTTTCTGCTATCTAAAAAATTACAGTAATATCTCTAAAGTAATAAGCTGATAAGTAACTGCAAAACTGTTGCGAGACTCTTGCGCAAGACCAAGACCATGGCCAAAAATGAGTTTGCAAGACCAAGACTCGTCTCGGTCTCGTATTTGGGCAACACTAAAAGCGACTGTAGTCATATAATATACAGACGTTATATAATAAACAGAGTATGGTATGGTATATTACATATTTATTTCAGCATAAATATGTAATATACCATTTTTGACGAGCCAGAGGTTTCTTAAAAAAAGAAATAAATCGATCATATCTTCATGAGATTTAAATCTTAGCGAATAATAATTTGTACAGTCAATAACTTAATAAGGGTTGCCGTTGCCTGCTTGAGTATTATGTTAGAAGATAAAACAGGCTAATGTTTTGGCGACTGTTCCGACCTCCTGCTTTCCCATTTTAGAAACCTATTCAATCTAGGAAAAGGAAAAATGGCCGCCTAGCAGACAGCGGAGGGAGCAAGAGGGAATTAAAAATAAAGCCTAGACCGGAAACAAGATGGCGGTGGAGTGGTAGCGAACCGGAAAATCAGGGAGGGCGCGACTGGAACATTGCAATTACTTCGATCTGAGGAGGAAGGGGCCGGGGCACCGCTACGGATTACTTCCTTATTCCAAAAATTACTTCTTCACTTCACTTAGCTCTAGTATTCCGGCCACTTTGCCCAACCTTATATTATCAAAGTATGTATTCCTTCTTCGGATACATGGTATCGACATAAATACATAGTAATACTTACATAGTAGTACATAAATACATCGACATAAAGAAATACATGGTATTTCTCTATGGTGTAGTTGACATATATTTAACTTCAAGTTCATTTAAAATGAGACCAGATTCTATACCATTGAATCACATGCCTATCTGTGAAAATGTACCTATATTTTCAACAACAAGGAAATTATGAAACCTATCGGGGAAAATTAATAAATTCGGTATGATACGTTAAATAAAAATGATGATACTCAGAAACAATGGCGAAAACTATAGATCAGTGCAAAAAGTCGACTTATCGGTATCAAGATAAAATCTTTTGGAGCGCTTCATAATTCCAGAGTTTGTGAAGTTCTAAGAGAATAGTCGGAGAATATATCCAGTAATTAGTAATCATTTATTTTGACATCCACAGTTCGTCCGGCTAATCAATATTTATACCAACCTTAATTTGTCCGAGCAATGATTTCCCGAAAAAGGATTCAGTTTTTGACCAGACGAAAATACTACATATTGTGAACTGCCAAGAACTATGTTATGCAGTTATTATTATCAAGGAGGCTATTCCGTGAATTCCGCTTGTTGGTCTCGCTCTCGTTATGTACATGAATAAATATAGATCACTTTCAAATAAATCGAAATTACAATTAAAAGATATTAAATTCGGGCTAAACGTGCTTTAGGTTTGTAATAGCTTTCATAGCAACAATTGAATAATTATATATTGCTTAAAAAAATAAATCTGGTGCGTGCATCACACGGCTTTCACTTACCACCCTCTTCTTAGAAGAAAGTATTTTGAGATAAAGGGAAAGTAAAAGAAAATTATAGGCGCTATGTTTATTTACATTTCATTGTGGATATTTTTTATTTGTTTAATTACTGTTATATATGCAAATTTTAATTTTTATATCGCTGTAATCTATACAATTAAATATTAAATAATACCAACAATAGCATTTATGAGAACAGCAAATGTATATGTACATAATATTGATGGAGTCCGTATTATATTAAGCTCATGTTACGTATGGAAGCCTGTTCTGATCTTTCGGGCGAGCTTGGTCCAGCACGTATTCCTTTGGTTCCTGCGTTACAACTATTATCGGTTATTCTTATTTCTCCTTTAGTTAATTATCAAATTCATTCATATTTTATAGTTAGCTATTTTTTATATCAAAGAATAATGTCAAAGGACTTTAGAGTTAGGTAATATTGAAAATTAGCTATTTATTTCCTGTTAGAAACATCAATAAGAATAAAACCTATGTTATATTAAATACTGTTTAATAATATACTGATATACTGAGTTTAATCAAAATCGTTAGGGCCGTTTTTGCGAAAATCGTTAAAATGTTTTAAATCGATTATATAATTACAACTTCCGGTTTGCCGTTTTTGATGAAAATGTTGCTGCAACATCCCAGGCTTATAAAAACCTCAAATACGCAATGTCAGTTTTGTACGACTTTTCATTTTTGAGCTAGGCTGTCCTCATACATACTCATAGACCATTTTGTGGGACTTGGTTATTTGGATTAACGGGACCTCAAATGTGTATTTTTGTTGAAAACTCAGAGTCGAAGATTTTAACTATCTATACGTAAGCGAAAGTAAAAAATTAGTAATTCACTAATATATCAAATCTTGTTAGTTTAAATTACTTTAACAAAAATAAAAAAAATTAAAATCGATATAGAATTAACAAAACGGTTATTTTTTTTTAGCCTTTTCATCATAAATTAAAAATTAAAAAACATTGTACTGCGATATAAAAAATATATAAGTTTTAAAGGTATGTAATGCTCTCACTTTGACGAGTTAACCAATACGCTAGTATTGGCTAACTCGTCTCGTCTACGGCTTTCTAGTAGACAGTTTTAATTATACCTGTATTTTGTTACTTGTTTATTTAATTTTCCTTTTTTGCAAATAACAGTTTTCGGTAATAGAATTCTAATATTGATTTTTCGATCTATTGATATTTTTTCAACATCCTAAATGTATTGGAACAAGGCCATCGGATTACTTTTAGATTCAATAGTTGTTTAAACTAAGTAAAAGGTTATCCGTTTATTTAAATAGATAG